GGGAAACAGAGGACCAGCATCACCTGCTTGGATGCCACAATGCCCAGACAAGCTAACACATGTCACTACACAGGCCACAGGTGTCTCAGCACCCACACTGCTAAGAGGTTCCCCATTTTACTAACTAATATGAAAACACCACCCAGGTGCTTTGGGGCCCAAGAGTGTCAAAAGGCATTTTGCTGTTTCCAAAAGGAAGCCTCTAGTTTTAATGGAAATTCCAAATAGTCAGTCAAAAGGCAGTAAGGACCCCCTTGAAGTCCAGTTAACACTCCTAAGTCACATGTCACTCAGCAGGCCACGTGGGGGGCTAGGAAGCTGGAGGGGAGCCTCCCTGCAGAACTAGGAGGGCTCACCACACAAGACTAGCTCACAGGGAATGCAGAGGGAAGAGATACTCAGAGCTGGGGCAAAGAAGTGGGAAGTGGGACTAGGCCCAGTCAGAAAGGGGGGATGGAGAACCCCTGCTCATATTCACAGGCTTAAGAAGAAAGGCAGAGCCTGCGACAGGGATCGGGGAACAAAGTAGGGGGTCAGAGTCGGGATTACAGCTCCACTCCCACCCTCTGAACATAGAATCCTACAGCACTCTACACTCTAGCTAGAGGGGGTTCAGACACTGAACAGAATCTGTACCTCACCCTGAGTCCCTGAGCTGTCATCACACCATACAGACACATACTACCTCCATCACGACCAATGAAAGTCAGCACTGATACAGGACCCTGTCCCATTAAGATTGCACGTGGCCTTGGGTGCCCCAGGGAGCCACCTCCTCTAAATTGGCTAGCACATGAGATGAATCCCTTCAGTCACTCTTGCCCTAGAAGGTTCTTCATAAAGAAACGCTCCACTATTTGTCATTCACCTCTTTGCTATAACAGTATAGTACAAAGCACACAGCTGCGTGACAGCTCTTGAGAAGAAAATGCTTTGCAAATGATATATCGATGCTTCATTCTGCTGATGTTTCTGTTGTGGGAAACTATTTTTCTGCACCAGGGGATGAAGAGATTTCTCCTCCTTTGTTTTCTTTCCTTTTGAAGTCATCTGTATCCCTGTGATTTGACCTTTAAGGAGCAATGAGACTAACCTCACGCAGAGATTAGTCACTTCGGCCACCCTGCCAGCTTCTGTCTGCCTGCCTCATTTCTATGAGCAGATCTCATCATCCCCTAGGTTTTGGGAACGTGTCTCTGAAGACCCTTTGTGCCAGGTTGTTCTTCACAACTACAAGCATAAACGACCCTTGGGAATCTTCAGCCAATTTTTTTTATCCTTTTGTTTAACTACTACTAGATACTGGACAGTGTCAGCCCCAGACAATCAATCGAGAGGGTTTGTTTTCTTAATGGGGCAATAGGGTCTGCTTCAGAAAACTCAAGTACACAAGTTTTAAGCCAAACAAAATGCCTTCAGAGTCAGCCAGTAGGAAGCACTCCTATATTAACTTTAGGATCCTGATGACTTCCAATCTTATTTTTTTTAATCCTCAGTTCCATTCCTCACTCCCCAATTCTTCTGCTCCTTTTCTCTTCATGGTGAGATTTAGTCATCAGAGCCAGTTGGCCCTCCGAACATTTTTCTGGTGTCTGGAAATAGGATCAGTTGCAGGAACCAAAAAATGTATTTTCTCTAGCTAACCTCATAAAACGCAGATTTCTCATGCCTATCATAGATTATTTTATTCATATCTGTAACTCCATGCCCATAAGATGACCAACATTTTTCAAGGGACTGAAACTAGACTGAGAAGGCAAGTCACACATTGTTTGCTGCAGTGTGTTATATCAAGTGGTCATACTAAAAATGCACAAAGAAGTAAAAATTACAGAGATACAAAACGCTTGGGGGCCTCTCTCTCCGTACCAAACTCTCCTTCCAACTTCCTGCCAAACGCTTCTGAACCGCTGCGCTATTGGGAAAGACCTGTCTCGGTTGCTAACTCGGACTATCCAAGCAGTGCCCCTCTGGCCTTCATTTTTCAGGAGGTTTGCTCAGTTGCTAACCCTAAACGCTCCACTCCACTCACATCCCAATGGGTACAGAGTTCCAAAGTTAACACTGGAGAATTCCAAAGGCATGTCACTTTCAATTCGTCAACACGCAGTCCTGGATTCTAAACATTCTTGTACTTAATAAAAACAGGAATGAAAGAGAAGAGAATGTAGGGTGAGAAAAACATTATTGTGGAGAAATTTACTTGATAGCATTTTTAAACTCATGAGCCAAAGCTCATCCTGGATCCTTCCAGTCCAACCGTGCGGTGGGAACGAAGGTCGTTGGGGGAGCTGCATCTCGTGCTAGGTCTCGGACAGCAGCCATTGTCCAACGCTGTAATACCTCGACTATTTATTACATTGTGAAGAGGGGTAATAACCTTGAAAAGAAACAAAGACTCAAACAACTGATGGGAAAATGTTTCCCCATCACCCCCCTTGTCACGTTTTCTTTTGTCATTTTGACTAACAATTGTTCCAGGTTTAGTTTTTTTTCATCCCAAAGAAATCTCACCTAATATTGCCATTTGGAAAGGGAAAGAATATGTCCCAATGGGGGTTGGTACTTCATATACATGATACTTACATTCCATTTTCTATACATAACCAAAGGGTAATATTTAGTGCTATTATAATAAATCTTTTCCAGACCTTGCCAATATTAGGAAATGGAACGAGAAAGAGGGCTTTTTAATACAATGGAAAAACCTTGCCTTCTTGGGTGCTGATGTTAATTTACACAATCAATCCCTCATATGACAGCCTCAGGCCTAATTAATGGTAAAAATGGATTAAAGCAGAAAACCCCTTAAAAATGATACACACATACCTTAAAACTTTATTTTAACTTGCAGCTATGGTGACTGACCATCCTGGTTTGCCTGTGATGAGGCACAGTTGGTCACCCTGTTTATAGCACATAAGGAGACACATCTTCACACCCTGTATTGGGTCCCAACCTTTCCTTGAATAAGGATCCACTATCTGAAATTCTGTGTGGACCTTCTTTCCTGAACCACTCCAATAACATGGTCCATGATTTCCAATCTCAGTTTCTTTGAAGTTAAACAAGAATGAAGATGCTTGTGAAGACTAGAATCCTTCCATATTTTTACAACATTTCCCCACTCTTTCTAGCCATCACAACCCACTAATGTTGACAGAAAGGCTTTCATTCTCATTTTGAATCTTTCCCAAAATATTCAATGAATTTTCAAAGCAGTGACTTCTATACTCACATTTAAATAGTTTATAGAATGTTCATGTACCATTTCACTAAATGATAAAATTCCAATAACAAATGCAATTGGCATAAGGAGGTTTGGAAACAAACACACTGACCCCGTAAGCACCCAGTTCACCCCCTTGAGCAGGAAGTCATGTGCATCCGCGGAGAGAGTGGGCTAAACTAGCTGGGGGTGCTCAGTGTGCCATGGGACTAAGCTATGGGTTTTCCATGGATGATATGGGGCTGTAGAATATATAAATTAATGTAGTGAGGCGATAACATGGTAGTTGATTAGAAAAACTCCTATACTGAAATATTTAAGCACATACTGCCAAGGAGCAAATTTTCTTAAAAGGAGTTAGCTCATTAGGATTTGATCTAGCCCATTTCAGTGTAAATCTGCTTTTCACTCCCTTACTAAGTCCTGGGAAATACCAGTATATATTCATGTCCCAAATCTCTAGTGGTTATCATCTATATTTCAACCAATATTGAGCTTGAACAGTATTTAGCACATGTTATGTGCCTGGATTTGTTCTAGTAGATCCGGTATTGGGGAAAGTTTATCCAAAATAGATCACAGGCAGTTGAGAAGATTGCAAATTGTCAACATTGGCTGAAGGTCCTACAGATTTGACTTTGTTTCCATCAAGATTACAAACTCTCATGACACCTTGACCCTCCAGCCCCTGAGGTTCATGAGTCTGCTACACAATGACTCACCGGCCCCAGAATCAGACAATGGTTGTCACTTGAGACACTTGCAGCCTTACCACACTTAACACCAAATGAAGTAAAATTATACAGATTTCCCTCCACGTCTGGCTGCTCGATCCACCCCATCCTTGGGACCCAGCGGGGATGCAGGAAGGAGGAAGGGTCAGGAATGATTCCTTCCACTCCACCCATGTACACCACACTCCAGGTGCAGACGGGGCCTCAACAGGATGACTTCTCCTCTCCTAATTAGAGGCCTGACTTAAGACCACAATGTATATTAAGTAAAAGCAAAATTACTCAGATATGAAAAGCTTCTATGCATAAAGTAAAATTTAGTTTTCTTTTTTTTTTCTATTTATATTACATACTTGCCTCAATTTGGCCCAATGCCATGAGGAAACCAAGCCAGTTATATAAATGCCTCACATAGAGAATGTCCACTTAGCATAAATAATTGCTTTCATTGCCATTCAACCCATGTGTATAGGTAAAAAACCAGTGGGCCCAGGAAAAACCAATGGCTGCAGGCATGGCCCCAATGGGGTTTCTGAGTGACTGCAGGTAAGCCATTCTGAACCACAAAAACATCTGTTCAACACCATATTGCTCAGTATCCATGTGTCCCATCTTGTGCTGACCTGAGATTTCCCTTTCAATCACCTGACCAAAATCAGAGCCTCAGACCCCAGTCTCCACAGGGAGCTTCACAGAGCCACCAGGAAGCATGTGAGGGTCACGTCAACTGGTGGGAGGTTCACACTGGCACAGCCCCAGAAAGAACCTCATCTCTCCAAGCATCGCCAAAAAAAACTCTCATCAATAATCTGTCTTACCTCCAGTTCTATTCACTAACCAAACAACAAAAGAAGTCAGGTGAAACAGGGCTTCAAAAACTATTGCTAGAAATTATTTCACTAAAAAAATCCAGTAATAGAGGCTAAACAAGGTAAATAGCATAACAGTGACTATCATATTCCCATGAGTGGCATTTCTCATCACTTATTTAATCACTGAGGGCAGATGGTAAGTATTCCCAGGCAGATGTCACTCACCGATGCAGGCATGGACCCTCACAGACAGCTGTGTCCTTAGAATGATGCTGTGCTTCTTGCCCCGCCTAATAGAGGGAAATCGGAGACAAAACATACATGAGCATCAGAGGAGTCAGTCGGAAGATGCCTAGATGCTGTCGATCAGCCTGAAAGTACTGACACACCCACCTGAAAGAGGCCACCGACAAACAGGGACATGAACAGAACAAGAATCTATCCCGTACTAACGTCACCGGGCTTTACAGAAAATAATAAAATTTGACTCCATTGGATTGACACACGCATTTTATTGCCTAACCCGGTCAACTTGTTCCATCCACTGAGTTTGCATGTACTCACGCTTGACCATGTTGGGAAAGCTTTTAAATCTGTGACCATGAAGCGAAATCCCTGGAATGTAACAGCACCAATCTGCTTGATCGTTCCCATGGCTGTTCTTACATTTTTCTGGATATAGGTAAAGGGCACATACAGAGTGGGGGAATCAGAAAGAACTGCTTTGCTGTGTGTCAATTCAAGACTGCGGAGCTTTTATCTTTTACAGGAAGATGGGAGTCCACCAAAGGGCTTAGAGGCTATTGATTATCAGGAATACCAACTTACACCACACCTTGCCTCACCTTTGCTTCCTTCTTACTTCATTTCTTGTGAGGAAGAAAAAAAGGATGGCGCTCTCCCCAATTCCATTCCTACTAGGGCTCTTCCCACTTTATACAAAAAGGACTAAAGCACAGAGCAGTTGACAGAGAAGATGATAAATGGGGAAAAAATCATAAGAACATGAGTCCTGCTACTTGAGGGTAACAAAGTCTTTGAGGTTTGGAGAAAGGGAGAAGCCAATGAACAAAGGTAAAACGGAGCCAGCCAACCAACATGGCAGCAGGTAGCCCCCTGGGTCTCTCAGTGGCTGAATTCCCCTTCCCATCACGACTCTGGCCACTCTCATCTCTGCCCATCGGGACTTCATTTCTAAGAGCCTGGCAGTGCTTTCCTGCTTCTTGGATTTATGGTTGTGTTGGAAGGGAAGGAAACCCCAGGGCACACTGTTAATATTGTGATTATGAATTCATAGTAATCACTAAAACAATTAGATTTTTTTATTCTTGAGAACAAATAAGAGGGGACAGTATAGTTTCAAACTGGTTTGGTTTTTTTTTTTTATTCTTTTAAAGGAGAAAGGAAAACCAGTTGCATAGTCCTACAAAAGCATGCAGCAGCGGTCAGCCCAGCAGCTGCTCGTGTGTAAACGCCTGCATTGAGTCCCTTCCAATCCCCATGAGCCACTCCTGACTTTGTTCATTTGATTGCTTTACCTTCGCTGTGTGCAAGGCACTAGCTCTGGGAGCTTACAACAAACACATAACACTTCACCCATCTTGGGCAGACACGTTAGAGATTCCCTTAAACACAGGCTTCTTCAAAACTTTCTCCCTCACACAACACCAATCTTTTTCTCTCTCAACAATCCTGATGTTGGCACGCCTTCAGCTCTTGTGATCATATATGAGGAAAAAAGTTTCAACTGAATGCACTGAACTGAATTACTGAGCGGCCTTCTGTGTGAACCGCCAAGAAAGGTGTTCTGGGGTGCGGGGCAGCCACCAGCAAGTGTGCAGCCTCACCCAGAGCTAGAAGCAGAAACCACGGAATCCCTGAGGGTGGCCAGACCCTAACTATGAGAAACAGCAAACCCAAAGTCCTCAAACCGAAGCATTGTCTGTAACTCAGGTTACCTGCCAGCGGTTATCAGTCAATAATAAATGCCAAACAAACAGTAGACAAAGTAGATGCTTTAGGTGTCCTAAGTGGGGAAGCACGGGGTGGCCAGGGAAAATATTTCAGAGTACCCCCAAGTTCTAGAGAAGTTCAAAAGGGCCCCTGTTCTTATCTTCAAACAATGGCAAAGTTGCATTTTGAGGAAGCACGTCAGTTTTCCCACAGAATTCTCCAGTCCCACAGGGAGCGTGTGGGGTGGTGGCTCTGGAATTCCAGGCACCTGCATGAAAGCTATTGGGTCATCGGGAAAGTCACGATGCATTTTTGCATTGCAAAACATAGAAAAATATGTAATGACATTCCCGACGACCCAATAGAAGAGTCTTTCCGAAGAGGCCCCCATTGTCCCATTTTTTTTTTCTGTGCTTGTGCATTGAGAAACCAGGCAATTGCATTGGCTAAGCTAAACCCTAGTGGAATTTAAGAGACCACAGAACAAAAAAAGGCCTTTTTTTAAGTAGTTTTATGACATATAATTCCTCTGCTTCAATAGTCTACCTCATTCCCGGCCTTCCCCTGTACACACAATCCTACAATGGGGGAAACCTGTGTGGAAATTCTGCATGTGGAGTTTTCTGTGTGGAGCTGAGCGTTGTGGAAGCTGCCTGACAAGGAGGAGGCCCCAGATTCCAGAAGTTGTTGGCAAAGGAGGGAGGCAGCCATGGCGGAGACAAGTGGTGGGGAGTGCAGCCAGGTCCTTCGTCACAGGCATCCTTCATCTCCCACCCCCTTCCCTCACCCCACCTCTGCTTTCTCCCACCTTTCATGTGGCTATCGTGTTACAGATGAGGAAAGCAAACTTCAGTGTACAGAGAACACCCATCATGAGGTACCTTTAAATTTGATAGCTACCCTCCCTCCACTATATTTTCTTATTGGTGAATGGTGACATATTGAAGAAAGGTTGATTTTTATGTATTTTTTTATATGGCTATCTCACTGCTATTATTGTTTCCAAAACTATTTTGGCTGATGATTTTTTTTGGCTTCTTTTAAGGAAATAATCATATCATCTGTTTAAAAATAATCATTTTATCCCCACTTTTGTAGTAAATATGTCCCTGTCTTCTGTTTCATGGCTAAAACTTTCAGAGGAAAATTAAACAGCCATGTGTATATGTTCCCCTGCCCCAGTGGGATACTATGTCAGCTTGGGTTCAGAAAATAATAATCATAATACTTGCTAACCTTTATGGAATGCTTATCATGTGCCAGACAAGGTGTTAAGTTCTTTATACAGAATTACTATAAAATAGATAACATTATTGCCATTTTTAAAATGAGGAAATTGAGGCCCAGAAGGGTTAAGCAACAAAGGTGAAGTCACACAGCTAGAAAGTGACAGAACTCAGACTCAACCCAGGCAGCCTGACCCGGAAAACTGTGCTCCCATCACCTCCCTACGGCTGCCTCCCAGATGGGTGTTCCTTCCTTCATTCCCTCACTCCACATGTTTGCTGGTGCCTAGTGTATGCTGGACTCTGTATGAGATGAATGAAGTACCTTTTCCCTCAAAATGGCAACACAGAAATCCTGCCTGCCCTGCAGATTTTGGACTCCAGGCTGCAACATCAATTCTTTCCTAAATTTCTAGCCTGCTGGCCAGCTCTACAGATTTCAAATTTACCAATCCCCACAATGGAGCGAGCCAGTTACTTGAAATAAATCTCTCTAGATAGACTAGACAGACCAGATGGACTCGATTAAATAGATTAGCTATATTACACTAGATGGACAGATACCTCATTGGTTCTATCTGTCTGGAGAACTCGAATACACACTTTGGTATCTGCCTTCACAAAGCTTCCATATTCCAAAAATGAAATCAGTGAGAGGCTGTGAATGTGGCTTCAGCGTAAGCAGTTTAGTGATGGTATTTTTCTCCCTGACATGGACATGCTGTATCAGGTTCAGAGCGGCCACTATTTCCAAATCCACCTGTTGGCAGCACAGTGACCCAGAAGGCAAAAGCAGTTTAGTTTGACCTGACACTCCCCAGGGAGACTCAGATTCCATTCCTATCAGCACAACCACTGCCAGGAAAACATCCCTGGCTTCAGAGACCAGCCACAGCCAATCGGGTGCCCAAGGCCAGTGCTACCCAAGTGACAGGAAGACTATCTAAAGAGATACTTAATTCAAGGAGACTCTGATCAAGGCACACAGGCCAGGGACGTGGTGGAGTACTTTGAAAGGAACTTTCCCAAACTTCCTGGTTTCTTAGAATACATAAGTTTCTCCTACAAGAATGTCTGTGGCCTTAGGGGGAAAAAAATCAGGTTTAACCAAGCCAGTCTCACAGAAATCCATGTGTTTCGGTTCTTTCCTGGTCTCTCAAGAGAAGTTTTACAATAACATGTAAAGTCTGTGACTGTAAGAACAAATGCATACATTAATTTATTGAGTGGCATCGAGCCAAAAGACTTTTTATGGCAACTGCAGAATCAATGCCCCCAAACATGCCTCCACTCAAACGAGAACTAAACTATGATTTCAATCAAGAGTAGGAAAAGTATGTTTGACCACGTGGCAGAAGTAGAAAATAGGGCCCCCTGAGCAGCTGCCCCAGGAATAAGCTTCCTTTTAGTAGCTACTGGAGCTGTGGAACTCAGCCAGGGCTCTGCCAAAGGGATAAAGAGATGAAGAAGGATTCCAATCAGTCATTAGCAAGTGAAAAGATAGTGCTGGCTAAGATTAATTTGCTCAGAAGCTCCAAGACCAAGGGAGCCAGTTGCCACCACATTCATCTCCAGATGCATTCTAGCCTCCCCTAGTAGACACAAGAGGCGAAAAGCATAGACTTCGAAGCCAGTTGTGTGATCCTAGATGAGTTACTTAGCCTCTGAGCCTCAGCTTGTCTGTAAAATCATGCCTGTGGTGTCATGTCTAAGAAACAAAGATTTACTCTTATTTTCTTCTAAGAGTTTTGTAGTTTTATCTTTTCACCCTCAGGTATCCTCTAACGGGAAAGAAGGCTTTATCCAACCCATACACAACTCCCAGCTCCAATGCAACCCTGCTGCCCCTCCTTCTCAGCCCCCATTCTCTCCCTGACCTGTCTCCATCTGCCCACCCAACTATTCTTCTGCTTCCTCTCTCCCCAAGGATGCTCTAAATCTCCTTCTTACTATACCCCTGGCCTTGCCTTGGTCCTCTCACAACTTGATTTCTCTGTGGCATGGTGTTCTTAACTGCCCTTTCTTTGAAATTTTCTCTACTTGCTGAGGCAGACACCACTGGTTACCTAACTAATACTCATTTTCCCATTTTGTCTTATAAAAACAACCCA